AGAAGAAGATTTTTAAAGATTTACCTATTTTCCCCCTATTTGGCCCCGCCCCTCTGCCCCCAGGGGAGTTATACCCTTCGTTTATACAAAACTGAGAACCCTTTGGCCAATGATGCTCCTGACCAAATTTGGTCAAAATCCTCTGAGCCATTCAGGACAAGTAGCATTTTAAAGGAAAAAGTTGACGGACGCCGGACGCTGCACCATGGGATAAGCTCACTTGGCCCTTCGGGCCAGGTGAGCTAAAAATCTGCTGCACTCATTTCAATATTTGGGATTTTTATATTTCTCTCTGCTTCAAATTACCTTTTATCTCCTAGTGCCTTGCTAGGCAATACCTCATATTTTGCTTTAATGTTGTACGTTTACAAAGATGAGGAAGGCAATGGGTTCTGAACCCAGGCCAGGGTATACTAAAGTCCTTAACAATGGGAGTTGTTTCTCCCCGCTGAACGTTAAGCATTCAGGGAAATTGCAACAACTAGACCTGCTCACTAGTTCAGCAATGTAGCGAGTGGTCAGTAGCTAGTACGGCAACTACCATCACCTTACACATAGACCTGGATAGTGATATAACCACAGGGGCATGGATCGCTTTACTTGTAATATAAAAAAAATAGGGGTCTCCTATACTAATATATACACAGGTGCATGGATCGCTATTAGTATAGGAGACCCCTATTTTTTTATATTACAAGTAAAGCGATCCATGCCCCTGTGGATATAACTACTAATTACCTCGTTAAGGTAGACCTGGATAGTGATATAACTACTAATTACCTCGTTAAGGTAGACCTGGATAGTGATATAACTACTAATAACCTCGTTAAGGTAGACCTGGATAGTGATATAACTACTAATTGCCTCGTTAAGGTACACCTGGATAGTGATATAACTAATAACAACCTCGTTAAGGTAACCGGATAGTGAATAGACCTGGATAGTGATATAACTACTATTTACCTCGTTAAGATAGACTTGGACAGTGACATAACTTCTCTCTCCATTGGTGCGCCTGTATTCTCCATCAAAGTGAGGCTTGAAGTACTGTCCTGGTTGGTAGTACAATGTCCTCAATCTATTTAAAAAAACAACAACACATAATTCTTAATGAGATGTTAGACATTTTGATATTAGTCAGACCTGAATAGAAAAAATCTTTGCCAGCCCTAAATATCCATAGACCTAAGCACCTTGCTTCAATCTGAAACTTGAAATAGTGATACTTGGTCTGATTTGTTTGTGTTTTACATCCTATTAACAGCTATGGTCATTTAAGGATGTGCCAGGTTTTGGTGGTGGAGGAAAGCCAGGGTTCCCTGAGAAAAAACACTGACCTACAAATGTACGGCCAGTACCTGGCAACTGCCCCACGTAGGTCTCAAACCCACTACCCAGTGGTGGAGGGCTAGTGGTAGCAGAGTGTCAGACACCATAACAAACCCGCGACCCAGTGGTGGAGGGCTAGTGGCAGCAGAATGTCATACACCATAACAAACCCGCGACCCAGTGGTGGAGGGCTAGTGGCAGCAGAATGTCAGACACCATAACAAACCCGCGACCCAGTGGTGGAGGGCTAGTGGCAGCAGA